CCCTGGTTACTTGAAGCTAGAGTTACCAAGACTTAAACAATTTTGCAAGTTCAATGCATTCGGAGCTACCTGAATATCGATGACTCACACAAACAATAAAGTGAAAGTAACAAACTTATAAATTTTGGCCTAAAAATTCAAAGAAGCTGAATTTTTGATTTTGAATTTTAAATAAGTCATGTATTGCACAAGACACACCAAAAAATGCACAAGTCAATAGAGTTTTTGAATGGTTTCGAAAAAAGTTATGAGGAGAAACGGAAAAATAAGGCAACTTTTGTGTAGCCTTGACTACCTTATAACTCAAAAAAGAACTCAAAAAAATAAATTTTGCATCCACAAAAGCGAAACGAAAAAATCTGTTCGATTACACAAATCATTTTTCAGTTAAGAAAAACAAAATTTTTTTTAAGGCATTTTCGAAGTTACTTCAAAACACCATCACTTTTGGCAATTCAATGATTAGCATTTTTTTGCGATGCGACGGCTGTTATGCCAAAACAAGAAAAAGTCTTTGAAATATCGATGACACCAATTTAGCTAAATGCATAAAATTTTGAAAAAAATTTTTTCATAGATTTTGGTTACGGAACTGTGAAGATTAAAGATTAGCATTTTCGATCTATGGAGGTCAACTCATTTAAAATTAAAGTGAAAATTAAGGCAATTTTTCCAAAATTTTATGATTCCCTTAATCATAATCATTCGATCCGTTTTTCTTGCCGGAAGTAAAATGCAAATTTAATCAACACTCTTCTCAGTTTTCAGATTAAGATTGTAAGAAAACGAACGGATTTTTTTAAAGCTTTGGTTATAACAGTTTAATTTTATCTTTGGTTATAACAGAATTTTATTACTGTGATCAAAAAGGCCTCTTTCAGTTTCTAATTGCTGAAAAAGTGATTACCAATTTCAAAAAATCTTCAAAAGCATCGATGAAAAAAAAATGTTTTGATCCATCAGACAACCTAAAGTTTGTGAGCAATTTTTTCTTTGAGCGAAAAGTTTTTTTAATCAAGTTCGTACAGAAAAATGCCCAAATATCAAATGAAATATACCTGAACGGAGTTTGGGTTGTTGGTTTTCTGGGCTGCTGCTTCTTTGCTGCTTTTTTGTCATTTGTTGCGACTTGAACTCCTCGTTCTAAAGTGTCCACCACAATCTGGTACATTCTCACTAAAAATAAAAGAAATTACAAGAACATATATATTCATTCATTTAATTTAATCGCAACATTAATACGAATGCGAAACTTTTCTTCGCAAACGTTTGCAAGAACACGACAAAAACAGCTCTACAAAATTCAATAGGGGAAAAAACAAATTTGAATTAAAAAAATTCGACTAGGTCGAGGATTCGATCTGTGACCTACTGCAATGAAATGATGTCGGGTCTCACTCACTAAACCCTCAGCCACGCACACTAAACCATCTTCAAACACTAGCCACGAGTAACGCAACTACTCATGCTAATAAATTGCCAATTCAATTCAGCAAAAATGGCACCAAATACAATTGACACAATTTTGCCAAACTATGCATAATTTGTGCATTTCAAAAAAATTGCAAAATACTTGAGATGGAAAAATTCCGAATCCGGATTTTTTTTATTCTACTGCTGTTTGAAACAAATAGTTTTTTTTTGATTGATTAGATGAATTCAAAAAGCATCAGCTGTGTTATTTTTATACTATTCAAATGTCAAAGCCCATGCTATCAAAAGTGGCTCCAATATTTGCGACTTAGGGTAGAAAAAAGAAGGTTCGTAACAACACACTAAGCTGACGCTAGTGTAATCACTTAAATTAAATTCAATAACACAAATCAGCTTAATCATTCAGTTGATAAGTTCAATGAAGCTCTAAATAAAATGAAATAAAATTTCTAAAAGGTGATATCCTTTATTCGGTCAGGTTTTTCCTGTTTTACGGCCCAAAACTGATTTTTTTTTGAAATTCTAATTGATTGAAATTAAATGCAGCGAAAGAGAATCTGGATTCTCAATAAAAACAGAACTCAATTAAGTTTCCTAATTTTGGGCCGTAAAACAGAAAAGATTTGTTTTGTCTGCACATCCGAACATTTAAAAGAACTCGATACCAATTTTGGGTAATAATTGTGTGAAAAATTAGTTGACGAGAATCGTGATCCAATTAGGATGAAAACAGAAAAAAAATTTCAAAAAGACAATTGAGTTAAGAATCGGCTAATTCTGTTTCTGTTTAGTTTTTTTTAAGTAAAATCGGATTTTAATAAAACTTCAGATTAGTTTAAGTGGCGAATGATTTTGTTCAAAAACTTGCGAATGATTTTGTTCAAAAAAGCAGTATAAATAATCTACTACAGTTTTTTTGAACAATTCAATATATTTCTTAACAAAATTTTTTAAAAGTATGCCCCTGATGCTAACTAATACAGTCACAGTATTGCAACTCACCTTCAAGGCCTGTGTGTTTGATTGGGAGTTCCCTGACCAGATGGCCTCCGTCCCATTCAGCCGATAGCCATTTGTTCACTTCGAATACTTCACTCCAATCAGTGAACAAACTCTCAATCGAAAGCTGAAAAAAAGTGTTATAAAAAATTTATAAATAATGACGCTGACAAAAATTCAGCTATTTTGGATTGAAATTATTTGATACACGATAATTTGGATAAAAGCATAGAACTAAATGATGCTACATTTTATTTCGCTTTGTATTTTTTCAGGCAGTTTCAGATATTTAGGTAGATCGAAAAAACTAAGGCTGCAGTTTTGAGTTATTAATTGTTTGGAACAATTGGGAGTTTCATAATTCGATCAAATTAAAAAGATATAAATTGTCGTGATTAAAAGTATGTTTTTACCTTCTCAAGTAGCCATGATGGATTGTGTCCGTAATTATCGCTTTCTACTCGTATCTTCTGTAGATCTCCAATATCACCAAACGAACACTGAAAAAGTTTAAATAATGATAGAAAAAATATCAACCATTTAGTATCGGTTGTTACGAATAACTTCTGAAAGAATTGGTTGTTACGAACAACTTCTGGAACAATTGGTTATTACGAACAACTTCTGAAAAAATGTACTGGTGCACAGTAACAAACCCTCAACCCCTAGAAAAAATAATTCGACGACTAAGCATGATTTCATTTCGTAACTGTTATTGAATTTCCACCCTTGGGGGGGTGGCAGTTAAAGAGATCCGAGGCAGCAAAGTGTTGTTTCCACCCACCGGAAATGTGTCGACTGATCCCGGCTGGAACCCATTCCTAACTTGAGGCAGATCCGTTGAGACTGTATTGACGGAACCACACATGCTCAGCGTGATCAGAGATTCAGTGCCCGCCTCTTTGTCTTTGCCAGTCGAAAGAGTCACTTTGTAATCGCCGGCTAAAATAGGAAAAATTAAAACTTTTAACTTTTGTTTCATTAATATTTTTTGAGGAAAATGTGAAAGAAATTCAATTTTTCATATACACGCTGATTAAAATACTTTTTTTAACAACAGACAAAAGTTTTTTTTTTGAAAAAATCCTTACTGAACTAACTAAAAAACTCATTGAAATCAAATCATTACAAAAACTACTCTTGTCCTGAAAGACAAGGTTTTTGATTTTCAAATTCTCTTTTCAGATCCGCTTTCTGTTTTTTCCTATCATGAAAATTCATTGACCAAAAAAGATCTATGAGGTTTGTCATAACTTTGTTGAAAATAAGCTACTGTGAAATAGCAAATTACTATATTGAATTTCCAACTAAAATAAGCTTAATTCATTTGTAATTTTGTTTGTGTAACGACTTCACTTGGAAACAATTTATAATGATTTAGTTTCTAAATAAAATTTGCCCCTTTCCCTTTGAAGAAACGGTGAAATTGTTAAGAAGGTTAAGTTAGTCGAATTTTCGACCAATCAGAATGCAGCAAAAATTGAATTTTACATAGACCGTTCTAGTGCTAGCTTGCTGCTTTTTTATACGGGTTCTTTAATTAATACCATAGAGGTGTCGATTGTTAACTAAATCTATACTTCATTATCGTTTGTTTTCATTGATCACGGAAATAATGAATTTTAATATTTATTAATAGAATTATTGAAAAAAAAACAAGAAAATTAGGAAACAATCTTCCACCGGCTCAACCGTACAATCTTTCCCCTAAATGACCTGCCTTAGAAAGCCCTCCACAAGCATCTATTAAATCTGAAAAAAAAATATCTAGAAAAAATGCATGTCAAAGAAACGAGCAAAGAAAATTGACTTAAACCTTTTTTTATAAGTGGGATTCCATTTGTACCCGCAGTGACAAAAAAGGACAAAAATTGATTACATTCAGAAAAACTATAGCTCATTGTAAGTATGGAATCGATTTATCAACATTAATTTTGCGAATGATAATCGGTTCAATAATTGAAAGAATGCCAAATGATTGGATTTTAATGCCAAAATAACGAGTTTTTCTACTCTATAAAACCTGTATATAATCAGGTGATACTCTGCATTTAATCAGTATTTAATCTGTATACAATGAAACTTGTAAGTAATCTGTAGATAAATTAGAAATAATCTGTTGATAATATGTGGATGATCTGCATATAATATATATATATATATATTGATTATACTGCCTGAAAGCTATAGGAGTCGTACCACTTTCATTTTTGAACAATCAGAGATTAAATTGATTTTTTTTTCGAAACTAAAAAAAAAATTGTAATCAAAAAACTTTTACTCAGTGTCATAGTGAGCTGAGCTCACACGAGGAAAGATGTTTACCGCAAACTACAATCTTCAAGAGACCACTTTAAGATTGTGCAATCTAAGAGTTCCTGCGGTTGTAAAAGTAATTTTGTGCAAAGCTTCTGCCATTGTCATTTATAAGGTTTTAGGGCAATTTTGTGAGAAAAATATCAACAAAAACCTAGAAAAAACTAATTAAAGAGCAATTATTTTTTTTGCTGAAACATATTTCCACAATACTGATGTTATATTTTTTTCAGATCAAAAATTAGTACAAAAATTTCAATGAAAGGCCTACATTCTATTTTTTTTTAATATACTCAGTATATATCAGTATATATATACTTTTTAATCGGTATATAGTCTGTATATAATTTGTGTATAGTATGTATCGAATCTGTATATAATCAGTATACAATGAGTAGATAATCTGTAGATAAACGGTTATAATCCGTAGACGATCTGTATATGGTATGCATGAAATATCATACAGAAGAAAACATTTTTAGAGTGGTTTGGTAATAATTAATTAAAAAACATAAACTATGCTATTAATTACCTAGATCAATGCTTTAAATCATTTTTCTATATTATTACGTTTAATATTGAAAAAATCTAGGCTATACTCAAAGTTAGACTATGAAAAATTGATTCTTCGCACTAAATGTACTTGGGGGATGTACGCTTGATCCCTTACCCCCTAAACCAACTTAGGAGATCACTTAGTTAAAAATGACACGTTTCAGCCAATCAAACTAGAGCATAGCAAACGTAAACGCAGGCTTACTACAGATAGCGGAAGTATCTCACAAATCTTAAAATCTACAAAAATTTCAAGGATAAGGGAAATTTTTTGTAGGACAGTCAACCCGGGTCAAATGGACCCCAAAAAATTATAGCGATTGAAAAAGACTTACGTCCAGAGATGTCTTCCGGTACACTTGTTGGATCCACTTTGAACTCCCTCTCCGTTTTCTGGTCTCCGATATCAGAGTCGAGCCAGCTCATACACGGGAACATGTATTGCTGGCGACCTAATTAATATCATGTATTGATTAACTTATTTTTTTTTGTTTTCGGCGTTTCGGATAGTATCTATCAAGGGCTTGTCAGCTTGTCAGCTTGTCTAAGTATAGCCCGTTTTGTATTTTTTTTCTGTTTTTTTAAGCATTTTTGTTGAGCAAAGCTCTTTTTGGCGGTTAGAGTTTTCATTTCAAAAAACGCTTTAGCGCTATAAGTAGTGCCTCTTAATTAGTCGGACTCAAAGATGCATAATCTGAAGAATCTTTTTAACTGTGGCTTAACCAAAATAATGACAAAAGTCGATAAAAAGTCGGAGAAAAATAAAAATATTTGAATCCTTTATTCAATTTTTTCTCAATTTTTTCTTTGGATGCAGAGAAGCTTATCAAACAACTTCAGCAAATGAAAGTTGTTGAATGAAAAGTATTTTGTTCGCATTTTTATGAATCTTTCGAAAACTGTTTATAGTTTATTTTGAATATTTTCAAAAAATTACTTTCCCACGTTGACCAAAAAAGCTAATCATACAAAATTCATAAGAAAAAGTGCTAATCATACACTTTTCATGCAATTCCATAAGTACAGAAAATTGCATGAAAAGTCTATGATGAAGGATTTTTCTTATATGGAAATTTTATGACTAGCATTTTCCCATAAACCAAAAACTTGATTTTTTTTTTTAATTTAGCTTCTCAAAATTTATGGAAAAAACCATGGTTAACTCCAAACTAGAGTCACCAAAAGTTTGATCGTCTTGTGTTTACAATGCACTAGAAAGGACCTAAGGTTTCTTACACAAATATATAGTAAAAGCATCAAACTTTTAATTTTTGGCAAAAAATTTCAAAGATAGTTTTCTCTTATAAAAATTGAGTTTTTAACATATCAGACAATCATCAAGATATACATAAATACGCCATACAAAAGAAATAGGAGTGTTCAGCGTTTTTATTACGATACACCGGCTTTTATGCCGAAACAAGAAAAAAGTTCTTTGAAAATTAGATGACACCATTTTAGAAAAATTATTGAAACTTGTATGTTTAGTATTTCTTCATAGACATAGTTTCTGGAATTACATGATTAACTTTTTCAGTCTATGGAGGCAACCCGGGTTTATTGTTTGCGTCTACAAATTCTGATTTTTGTCCAAAATTGTTTTCCTTACAATTTGCATATATGAAAACTGTATGGGCGTTTTTATATACATTACCAAAACAATCCAAAATTTCAAATATAATGAAAGATTTTTAATTTTTGTTTTTATCTTATAAAATATGCCAAAACATTATGCTTGCAAATTGTTAAGTCTTTTGTTAGAAAAATGTAGCTTAGACTAAAAATTTCATGAAACAAACATCACCCTGGGTAATTTGTGTAGGGTAATAATTCTATATTTTTTCTAGTCATTACGAGGCCAAACTGTACATTTTGCGCATTGTAAGCGGATTCCGCAACAAGGACGCTCCCTTTGTTCTTCTTTTGTTCTTTCATTTTCTTTGATCGTTCCGACAAAATTTTAACATGTTTAAAGACTTGTCTATGGAATCCAGGAACATACAGACACAATATTGTGCGCCTACCCAGTGCACAATTTGGCCTCGTAATGGTAAGAAAAACTAATTTAACAAAAAACTAGGCCACGATCCTCATGCACTAGGGTTTGTAATTTAGGCAGCGTCCTAGTCTTAATAAAAGTTACGTTCTTTGTAGTAAGATTGGCTGAATTTCAAAAATAAATTTCGTGTTGAAGCTGAAAGTTTATTTTCTCGGTGAGATCCTTGCCATCAAACATTTTGGATAAAAGTGCTTCAGAAAGCGATGGTTTTTATCCTTTTGGATGATACGCCAAAAATAAAGAGGAAATCAAAAAATTTATAACTTCATTTTATGGAAAAACGCTTGTCATACAATTCCATAGTATGGAAAAGTGCTTATAAATCTGTAGTACATCAAACTATTTGTCATACATTTCCATACTATCAAAAAAAGCGTATAATGCCTGTTTTATACCTATTTTTTGGAACAGCAGAATGAGAAATTTTCACTTTTGAAGTTGTATAATAACTTTTGTCAACCCTGGTAAAGACTGTAAGCAGATCGGTGATCAGGTCACGAGGAAAATGAGCAGTGTTCTCAAACTATCGTTGAAAGACAAACGGCAAAGTTTTTTTTAACTGCTCTATGACAAGAGCTTACAAAATGAAACTTTTCAATAGACATTTTTTGAAAAAGTGAAAAACTGTTTTTCTGTGCAGTGCACCCTACACTTTTTCTGTGCAGTACACGTAAAAGTTTTACCTTGCGGATGTTCTTTGATTCGCACGTGGTCCACGAACCAGGAGGCTGGGAGTCCCTTGCCCACGTGCCCCAGTCGGATGGAGGAAAGGGGGCCAAGATAGACGGCCTCCAGTTCGAACGAGTCCTCCTGTCAATACGAAATTCCAAATAGTTAGAAACAACAAGTTCAGTTTGTCCAAATCGCTGAAATCTGGCCATTAATAGCGGTTACAAAAAATTTCATTTTTTATTTGTTGTTGAAAATAGAAACGCATCTTCATGGCTAACTGTTGTACTAAAAAAATTGTTAAATAATTGCAACATCAATTTCCGAAACTAATGTAAACGATAAAAAAAGGTCAGTCTCATATGCCAAGTATGAAATTTTATTAATTTCATGGGCCTAATTATCAATTGTTCAAATCTAAAACTGTCACAAGTATTTTGCGATTTTTAATCAAACTTGGAGGAACTTTTACAGGTTTCCAGGAAAAAACTAAACAAACACTAACACTGCCCATGGAAAACATCACTTTCTGTTCGATTCCATCATCACCATCATCAGTCTGTTCACGCTTGTTCACACTTCTCCTCAAGTATCTCTTGCCCGACGATCCCGATCGGCCGAACAGTTCAATGAAGACATCAGCTGCAGTGCTGCCTCCTATTTCGTGCCCAGTCACAACTGTCACTTGGTAAGTTATGACTGCAAAAAAAAAATAATATGTGAAATTTTTGACTAATTAATATTTTTTATTAATCACTTTTTGGATCAATTTCATTTAACATGCTAATTTGGTCTCAATTTTACTCGTTGTCTCTTTTCATTTGAATTTCAAAATCCAACCACTTTATTAAATTGAATTTTTTTCAGCCATTTCTTCCGGTAATTTTGGGTGTTGATTGGATAGCAGCATGTTAGAAAAAATTTACAATAAAAAGATAAAGTCCGAGATTGTTCATAAAATTCCTGTTAAACTCCTATTTGAACTTAGGTGTGAACAACTTCTGGTCTGAACAAAAAATTCGGGAAAATTTGGATGGATTCATCAAAAATATTCAGAAAAAAAATCGTCTCGTATTAGCTGTAATTCTCATGTCTGGATAAAAATAGATAGACACAATAGACAACAGACATTGGAAAAAAATATAAAAACGCAGGTGAAAAAAGGTTCATGTCTTACTTTGTACAAAACAAAAAAAATGACAAAAGAATCGGAAAAGTAATAAAAAAGTGGAAAAAATCATGTCCTACTTTGTGTGGCCTTGTCTCCTGGCCAGTTGATGGCCACTTCTTTCACCAGATCCCCACAGTTCAGGTCCATAGATATATGGCCATCAATGTATGCACAGAACTGGTCATTACTCACTGGGTCATATAACACCACCTGCAAAATCGAAGAGTTCCATTTTTCATTTTGAAGATACAGAACCTTCTTTTTAGATTTGTTTTGCGGTTGGTTGTAACGAAAATTTGATATTCGAAATAAAAATCCGTGGTTTCTTTTAATTTTACCTCGAAATTGATAAAAATAACCACAAATTATAAGCTAAGTTATCCAAATTGATTTGAAACTTTACGATAACAGGTTTTTAATTACAAAAGCTTAAGATTTTTTCTTTCCTTCACGTGATATAAACTTTTTCCTCAGTGTTTGGTAATAATGTCGATTTGTTATAGAAAAAGCTTGACTATTTAGTCTGATTAGGTTAATGGAAAAGACATTAATGCTTCATGCTTTGCCTTATAAAATTACTCGTTATCTCATAAAACTAATGCTTATGTGAAGAAAGGGCTGCGCCAAAAAGTCTTTTAAAAAGTCTATTAGTCAAATAAGATGACCGGTTGAGTACCTTATTGAAGTGCCAGTCTGGATTTTCTCCTTTGTTATTGTGACGCAGTCTCAGTTTTGTTGGCTTACCAACACCACTAGTGAAGACCTGAAAGTAAAAAAATGTAGAAAAACATATTTGGGTTTTTCCCTCCTTGGTTCCAGGAAGCCCTGGGTTCTTTTCTCAAACCAAGTGCTGCTAGCGAGAAGGCAACCCTAGATGAATGACGAGTTCTGAGTCAGTAGATAGTAGTTAATATAACAATAACGGGTGAATAACAATATAATATTTTTTAAACTAAGTTTTACCCAATAATACTTTTTCATCACTGTACTTCAGCTTTTTTCTCTCTGTTAAGATGGCTGATATACAGTCTACACAATTGCGATCAACCAAGTTTGGTCGACCTGAAATTTTTCGAAAACGTGCCTTTGAGAAAATCCTGAACCAAAGGGCTTAAAAATTAAAGGTAACTACGGTAATTACGAAGCGATACTTAATGCGTTCGAATCTGGATGGAGGCCACATTTTTTGCAAGTTTTAATTAATTTTTTGTCTCTATTTTGATATGAATAAATAATTCAAGTCTTAAAGTAGCACTAGGCAACTAGCTCTGATGCAGAACTAAAGCAATGCTGCAATTTGTTTCTCTGAATTGTTTCTCTGACCGCTGGTTTTCTGCTTACGAAATAGCAAATCATTACTGATTATTTTTCTGACATATTTCAATCTGGGTTTAAGTTTAAATAATCCCACATTTTTTGCTCCTTTTTCGTTAAAAATAAATTTTACTGGAAATGTGAATCTTAATTGTCCACTGTTATTTAAAAATATTTTCGATTGCACGATTCTCGAATTTTTGGTTGTCGAAACTTAATACAAAGTATTCCGCTCTCAAATTTCAATTTTTTCATTTTCATAGTAGTTTTACGTGTTATAACGGCTAAATGCGTGATATTACGATGTGAAATATTAAGACCAAATCTGTTCACAATTGTTGGTTTGTTCACCATGCAAAATTTCATCGCATAATAGCAACGTTGAAATAATTTTTGAAACTTGAAACTCAAATGTGGGGAAATTGGAAAATAGCCCAATGTTTGAATATCAGCTCGCATGGGCACTTTAAAAGTTCAAAATCGAAAAAAAAACTGCTTTCGAACCTCGGCTTCTTTGGTTGATTCCGGGAAAAATGGATCCCCCACTCCCCCTCCGATCATCATCTCCTGACTCTGTTTTCCCCCCTCCCCCACCACCTGCAGAAACACATTGGCTTGGGTCCCATCTCGGGGACCATTTCCGGTTGTCACAGATAAGGTCCATTGTTCAGCTGAAACGCATCAGTTTTTTTTGTTTTTGGTTCAGTTTTTTGGTGCAGGTTTCTGTATTTTTCGTTTGATCTGTAAACCATTTATCAACTATTTCAGAGCAAAACTAATCACTTTGATCTTTAAATACAATGTCTTTTAATAATTTAAGATATTAAAAAAACTAAAAATCAACAACGACAGATTCAAAGCCAAATTTCTAAATCTGAGAGAAAATATTGGATTGATGCACTCACGGAATTGGCGTTTCTTCGAAGATCCTTTCTGCTGGCTGGTCGTCTTTCGACTGGGAGCAGTGAATGGGTCCATTTCAGGGGGTTCATCGCGACTGCTTAGCGCGAGGTCGACTGCAATCTCGCCAGATTCAACTCCACTGTCTAGCCATCTGAAGTGAAAAAAAAAGATGCAAGGTTTGTTTGAAAAACAGATTAAATTTTATAACTTAAAGAAAGTCTTAATACGAAAACTAATAAAATATAGTTAAAATCAAAGATTATATTTGAAAAAATGCAATAATATTGTTTTTCTTGGATGAATTTTGAAGATATATTTCAAGACGGCATTAAATAAAACGTTATTTTACATTTTAAAATTTTTACATACGGCATGTTCCAGTTTAAGATGCTTGTAGATTTTTTAGGTGAAAATTAAAAATGGCTTTGTTAATCTGACCTGTAGCAGGAGAACAGAAACTCGTAGGGGGAGTCGTCTTGCTCTATCACAACTTTGTCCAAATACCATCCGGCCCCTGATAATTACAGACAGACAAGGTTTTTTGAAAGCATTTATTTGGTACCAATTGAAAAAAATAATATCCCTAAAAGACTAAGCTTGATACAGATTTTACTATTTGAAGATAAGTGAAACGGGATCTACTTAACAATCTCTCCAAATCCCCCCCCCCCCCTATGGTACCTCCACTCCTATAAATAAATACAGTAAATTAGCACTGAGCTTTCTTATGAGAATTCTAATTTTGCTGCATTCTGATTGTTCAAAAAATCGACCATTTTGATCTACTTATCAATCTCCCCCATTTCCTAAAAGTGGTGGATATTGTTAAGTAAATCCTCGATTATTGCAAATTTCAAATTTTTCGAATTTTTATTTTCAAAACTACTTTTTCTTAGAAAAAAGTATAAAACCGGATTCCAATAAGCTGCTATCAGCTTACCATATCCTTGTGCATTATGTCCAACTGTGACTACTTCCAACTGGCCACAAGAGACAGCCACGAACTGGAAAGTGTCTGTTTGTCCTGGCACAAATGGATTCTCACTATCCAGGGGTCTACGAAGCGTCCTGAAAATGAAAAATTAATCTGAAAAAACATTTTACAATATTTTTTTTACATTTCTTTAACATAAAATTAAAAAAAAAAAACAGAACGAAGTTTGGCGATTGATGAATATTTAATTCCAGCTGCTGGAAATTTCTTCCCGATGTAGAAAAAAAATTGGTCCTAAAACGACGAACAACAACCAGAAAACAAAAAAAAATCAAACATTTTTTTCACAAAATTTTTTGAATAATACAGAACTTTTTTGTCTACAAGCCCTAAATAGTTTGCGTTCTGGAAAAATTAAGTTCTTTTAAGTTTTCAGATAACGAAAGATACTCGATCACTTTTTCGATAGAAATTAGACTAAAAGTCAAAATTTTCAAACCGGTTTTTCTCGACACTGGGAAAACTTTAAAACGTTTTGAGTTTTTAATATCGTTGGAACCAGGACTGAAAGGGTTCGAGTCTGATGTATCACTCGATCCAATCCGATAATCATCTGTTGAACCTGATTTTGCGTCGACAAGAAAGGAAAAAATTAAAACACAACCGAAGTTTCAGCCGAAGTCGTAACAATAATCATACAACAATCAAACTCTTACTCGTTTTTGCCATAACTTTTTTTCAGAAACAGCTACCATGTTATACAAATCAGTTTCTAATTAGGCTGATATATTTGTGCGTTTGCTAAAATTTTATCTTAAAAATTAAAAAAAAAACAAATTCCAGATTAACAGTTAAGAAACCAAAATCTACCCTAGTCGATCAAGGAGGGTTATCTTGCAAGATTTTACAGGATGGAGGTTATCTTACAAGGTCTTGCAAGAGTGAGGTTATCTTGGAAGAATCTTGTAAAATTCTTGCAAGATCTTGCAAGATAACCAACTACGAAACTTTCAAAAACTTTATTCTGAGCGCCAGAAAAAACTATGGAGATCCAATTTGACTGCGATCACAAAAAGCTCGAAAAATATTAGGTTAAAAAAATTTTAAAACTGTTCATATATTATTTTGATTTTTCGTTTTTCGTAATGTAAATAGTTTCAGATTGTCTTATAATTTATGCATTTCAAATTAAAACTTTCAAAAAAAGTTTGTATGGAATTTTTCATGTTGTTCTGCAACTCTAGCGGTTAAATGTCATTTTTTAAGTCATAATTTTGATGAAAAGATTCAATTATCCTGAGATATTTTGAATCTTCTGTTCACATAATACCAATAAATAAATATGTTCGTCTAATTATGCGGTTATATTTTCCTTTTAAATGATGGGTTGTTCAAGTATTCAAATTTTATTACAGGGAACTGGTAGTGTCTACTGGTAAAAAAAATTACCTCTCTTATTATCTTTAAAGGAGGATGTCTGGCAAGATCTTGCAAGATTCTTGCACGATCTTTTAAAGAGATATATCTTCTTTAAAAGAATCTTGCAAGATAACCTCCCATGATCAATTGATTCTGCCATAACCCATAAAGCCATGATTCTGTAGTAAACATGACCCTACATAACAAGTTGTGTTTGAAAGATACCTTGGTCCACACTCCCCTTCTGTTCCTCGAAGCACTATCCAGACATCCCCCAGAGTCTGAGCAGCTCCTCTGTTGCCAGTGTAAGTATGAATTGTGTACACAACCACTGTAAGAAATATATGTTAAATCAGGTACAATTGAAGTACATCGTATGAAACTAAATTTTGTGCTAATGGTTACAAAATCTTTGACTCTTCTATGTTTTACAGAATTCATAAACCACAATTCGTGCTTGATTTTTTTTACCAGGGGCGGATCTAGGATTTTAACGAGGCGGTGGAGGGTGAAAAAAAATCGAAAAAAGTATCGACCTTTTTTAGGTCGACCAAATTGATTTTCTGAGCTTTTCCAAATCACTATACAGACCCTATTTTGACAGCAGCCAAATTAAAAAAAATCTTTTCGCCGCCGGCGAAAAATAGCGCGCGCGCCTTTAGAAAAGTTTTAGGGTAAGTTAGCCAAAAAAAGATACCTCAAAATTGTAGAAATGGGGATCTTTGGATCGGCCCAGGTTGCCAAAACTTTAAGAAAAAGCACCGCCCCCCCCCCCCAAATCCGCCCCTGATTTTTGCGTAGTGGTACGCCAAATCTGCAAACAGTAAATCAATCAAGTTTCTCCCGATTTAGAAAACGAAAATTCATTGTTTTTTGTATAAAATAAAAGCGCGGCAATAACTAGTTTGACCTGCTCTAAGAGTATTTTCGAATTTTGGTGTAATACTACGTAAAAAGCGGAGCAAATGATCCAAAAATTATGCTGCATGAACGAAACAAATTATAGGCCAGTCGAAAAATTTAATAGCACTGTTGTTGTTAGTAGGTATCAGGATGCAGATGAAAATGCTCTTTATCAGAAGCGCATCTAGGATTTTTTAGCGTAATGGGAAAAAGATTTTCCAAAATTTTAACTTGTTTTTCTAGATCAACTAAAGTAACTTTGCGACCGCTTTCAAAACACCATAAAGACCCTATTGTTAAATAAATTAATTTTCCACCGTCAAAAATTGAAAAAAAAAACAGCACGAAAAGACAGTTTTTGAAAAATTTTGACCGCTAAATTTGCGTTTATTCGACGCGCACTTCCATCAAATTCAGTATATGTTAGTGCAGAAGGTTTTTCACTCTTGATTTGAGTTTTTTTAAGACTTATTCAATCCAATTTTTTTAAACCGTCAGTCTAGAATCTCTGACGGCAATTTCAGTTCAACACTTTTTTGGTGATTTGTTACAATAGGTGACAGATTCAATTTAAATAGCTGGATTGCTCTTTGTTAAATTTCAAACAGTACTTATAGATTATTTCAAAAGAAAAAATCTTCGGCGAAAGAATTGTCAAATTTGATTTTTTGAATAACAGTTCATCTGGCAGAGTAACATCTAAGAGTATCTTAGTAGCATGTAAATTGGTTGAAAAAGAAATGACAATGTGATAATACATTTCAAATTTTTAGTATTAGAACCGCTCTCAATTATCAAATAATTCTCAAAATTACCACATATTGTGACATATCACCACTTTTTATTTAAAAAAATATTTTCGAAGAAAGTTTTATTACATGGATAAGCAGGTCTGTCAGGATAGATGGCTGGGAACTCCACGCTCAAGTCACTGTTGTGCTCCTTTTTATCCGATATCCACCTGAAACAAAACAAAATCAGTTGGCTGGATATTTTTCTCCTGACAAAATTTCTCTTATGTAATTTGAATAAACATTTTTGCATTTGCCTGAGATTTTTTTTCTATGCAAAAGACGGATTATCGAAACTGATTAAAAAATCTAGTTTATCAAATTCATAATTTTATCCAGTTTAACTAACCTAATACCCAGTTTATCACTTTATCTAACCAATTTGAGATTGTAAACCAGATTTTAAATTGCTTTTCTTTCCTAATGAATTCGTTCGTAAAAAAGTATTAAAGCTAGCAAAAAAATTTATTGGGTGAAAAATACAATTGCGCTTTTACAAAAACTACAAATAATTAAACGTTCTAAATTTTGATGTTCAAACAATTATAACTCCACTCTAAAAATTTCAAGAAACGAAAAACAATTGATTGTTTTTCGTCAAAAGTTTTCCGAAAAGTGACTATAGTGGGTTCACAAATATATCTATCTGATAACATATTATACTTTTGCTATGGGGTAATCCCAAATTGTGAGATATCTTTATCGCTTTTTATTTAATCTCAATACACAGTTTCATCCCAAAAAATTCCATAGAGATCCTTCATAATAATTGAAAGGTTCCCACAGCAGGTGTAAAATAGCTTATCCAAACTAATTATCAAACTAAAACAATGTGCTCATAATTTGGTGGTAAAAAACAGCAAAAAATGTGCATGATGAGCAAGTTTTGTAGAGAAAATCTGAAGAAAAAATTTTACTAAGAAAAACTTTGAATCACTATGAATCGATATATAGGACTTGTATAAAACTCACTTGTATGCACTAGCGGAAGCGGATTTAGGGAGGCGGTGGGGGATGGATGCCCCTTCCCTCAGGAATTTGACCCCGGCCGACCCCTGGGTCCCCTTTTGTACTAATTTGCGATATCCATTTTTGGTGGCGGACCCTAAAATTTTTCTAAGGGCGCCTTGGGCGCCAAAATATAGTAATTTTGAGGGGTGAGCGCGCGCCAAAAAAAAAACGCAATATTTTTGGTCAAAATTTTCCAAAAAGTGCCCAAAAACGCCTTTTTTGGCGTGTTTTTTTTTGGAAAAATTGCCTGCGGTGCACAAACTTTGGTAAAAATGGGGTCTTTATAAAAATTTAGGAGACCTCAGAAAGTCAATTTGTTCGACCTAAAAAAAGTCTACAAAATTTTTGAAATTTTTTGAAAATCTGGCCCCCCCTCGAGAAAATCCTAGATCCGCCCCTTCTTGCTTGGACAAAATTTTGTATGACAAATTTATTCTTATTAAAAGGTTTTTGCTTTCTATTCGGTAAATTGCTCGAAAAAATCAGTGAAATTTAATAAATTATCTTTCTGGTTTAGCGGAAAAATTGTAGCAATACAATTTTTTCACATTTAAAGTCAGCAGCAATTTTGTAGCATAATTTGCGATAACCCTTTTTGGTGGCGGCCCTAAAATGTTTCTAAGGGCGCCTTTGGCTCCAATATATAGTAATTTTTAGGGGTGAGCGCGCGCCAAAAAAACGCAATTTTTTTGGCCAAAATTTTCCAAAAAGGTCCAAAAACGCCTTTTTTGGCCTGTTTTTTTTTGGAAAAATTGCCTGCGGTGCACAAACTTTGGTAAAAATGGGGTCTTTATAAAAATTTAGGAGACCTCAGAAAGTCAATTTGTTCGACCTAAAAAAAGTCTACAAAATTTTTGAAATTTTTTGAAAATCTAGCCCCCCTCGAGAAAATCCTAGATCCGCCACTCCTTGCGTGAATAAAATTTTGTATGACAATTTTTTTTATTAAAAGGTTTTTTGCTTTCTATTCGGTAAATTGCACGAAAAAATTAGTGAAATTTAATAAATTTTCTTTGTGGTTTTGCGGAAAAATTGTGGCAATACAATTTTTTCACATTTAAAGTCAGCCGCAATTTTGCACGTAGAAACGTAGAAATTGTTCTGAGTGCTTTGTGTAGTGTAACGTTTTGTTCAGTGTAAAAAGCATCATAAAGTATTTTTTCGCTTTTTTATCATGCGCTGCGTTTTTCGCTCACTGAATCCAGTCGTTCCGTAACGGTAGAAAAAAGATTTTTGATTACAAGTGAAAACAAAACATTTTCTTTTGCATTATTTTGGAGATGATTAGGCTCTTGATTATCTATTTGTTTTATTACTCTAAATAAATTACATGCAAATTACAAAAACAGACACGTATTGATTTAGGTTGTTTTTTTCTAGGTCGAAATTTGGTTTAGAAATCACACAGATTTGAAATTATGGAATTTTCAGGAGTAAAAATTTACGCGAAAGACTTGGCCGAATTAATTGCCAAAATTGTTGAGTTTTTGGGGCTAGGGTCCTTAAAGTGGTTTGAGAGAGCGTTTAAAATCAGTTTGCTCGACCAAAAAAGGGGTGGAATGTTTTTTTTTGGATTAACATTCTGCTTTGTATAAATTTGTATCTGAAACTTGGCTCACATTTATGCCATAAAATTTTTTAAAGTTATAACAACTATAAAACATTGAAAATTTTTTTTTATTTCTAAAATTTTGCTTTTGTTTCACCTTCTCGTCTCGAACTGAATCTCATCTTTGGTGTCTCTATTTTTCATCTTCAGCCTCTCAATGAACCAGGATCGATCCTCCCCCTCCGACTCCCCTTTATTGTCACTAGTAATCTTAACCTTCTTCAATTCAGACCAAATTGGAGTTTGGATCTGAAACAGCAAGAATAAAATCCCAGATTTTCAAAAACTCTTCGCTTCAAATTTTGAACTTCTAGAAAAATCGAAGGTACTTCTTAAAATTGAATGTCAAAACTCAAAAAAAATCTTTTTATCCAAATGAAACTAAAATGAACAAAAAGTAGCTTCGATAAGTTATAATCAATTTTTTTAAATTATAATAAAAAGCTCCACTTGAGCAGAGAAAATTTTTGGCTGGGGATTTTTTTTTTAGTTGTATCGGCCATTTTTGTTTTTTATAAGTCTGCCAAATTCCATCTCTCATAGAAGTGGTTTGTAGTCTTCAAAAAAAAATACTAGCTCACCTCGAAATGATCCGTTTGTCCCGGTCGAAACAACATTTCATTATTACTCGATTGAAGAGGATAATTCTCAACCGCCTCAACTCCCCGTGGGCCATAGAAGGACATAGTTATGCTGGCCATAGTTGAGTCTTCCTCCTGTGGACCAGTGGTGACCCAGAGGTCCCATGTGTGGGTTTGTTGGTTTGGGTCGGGTTGAGATTGTTGTTGATGGGTTTGATCGGCAGTGGTTTCTTTTTCGACTTTGAAGTGTTCGACTCGTTTTTCGCCTAAAAAAAACACTGCTTAGTCTGCTATGTCATTTAAATTTTCTACGAATCTTATAAATTTAGCTACACAAGTATTTTAAATGGAAATATTAAAAACAATCAATACGCAGACAGAAACTAAGAAAAAATATATATAATATTTGTTACTTAGAGGGTTTTTTGTTTTTCAATTTGCTATTAACAACAACATACGATGTTATTGCAAGAAAGCTAGCATGTTGCAAATTTACATGAGAGATTAAAGATTCGATGATCTCAACTTGAATTTAAAAAAAAACTCCCTTACCTGTCAAATCTAGTGTCCTCTTAATGAGTCCGTCGCCCACCCCTGCATCCAGCCATTGGTCACACCTGAACTCATAATCGACAACTCCCCACTCGCCTTCTCTCAACACAACCTAAAGAGGGAAAGAAACAGAATGTTCCGATTTGTTCACATAACTTGGTTTAAAGTAGTATGTCTTCATCAAAATAACGCTGACACCCCTCACGTAATAGATCATAGAAGTGGGAAACTACACAGAATGTTCTGATTAGCTTAGAATTATTTATTTTACCTCTATGTAAAAATTCAACCAAGCTTAATAAAGAACAGAACACTTGATTGAACAGCGCGTACAATTACCCAATTGCAGCCCAATTAATTGAGACGATAAGAATTCTCCGATCAGTGTTGATATAAATGAAATTTCCAGGTAATTATTAATTCTTCCCAGACGCTCCCAATGGTGCTTAATTCTCGCATCACAACCTAGAAGGAGAGAAAAGAACAGAATGTTCCGATCAGTCATTTTACGCATGAGTTTAATGTGCTTTACTTCAATTTTTTCTGAAACATATGCATGTTTTCGATATACAGCATTACACAGAAAAGCAGTCGAAACAGAATTTGAATTCCTAGACCCCAAAAAAATTATAAAATAATCTCAAGGAAGGTTTGCTATAATGCTAATTTATTACAATTCATCCTTAACCAACCCGCACTCAGTAAAAAGAGAAAATAATCGACTATTTTACAATTATATTTATACTTTTATTAAAAGTATAATTCATTATAAGCGCAAAATTTAGATGTTTAAACAATTTTTAATGCATTATAATGATAAGACTTTTCGCGAAGTTATAATGAACTTTAATCAATTATAATTGATTATAGTTTTCCGAAAATCTCTAATAATCTTTTATAAAACTTTATACTCTCTTATAATCTCTTAAAATCTCATTTAATCAGTTATTATCTATTATAATAGATTTTATTCCTTTTGTCTTTCAAAAATCTCTAAAAGTGAGATGTCTTGTCACATTTTGGTTCATCTGAACACAAAGTTTCACCATGAAACAAAAGTTTCATAGATATACCTTCATTTTAATTGAAAGAATCCCGCAGTAGGCGAAATATAACTCTTCTATATCAACCATTAAACTAAAGCTTTGTGCTAATATTTTGGTGGTCAAAAAAACTTAAAATGTGCTCATGAAACAATGATAATCATGAAGAAATGAAAAAAAAAATTATAAATTTGAATTGATTTGAAAACTGTTAAAGCAATTTTCCCATTTTTCACATAAGCCAAAAGCATAAAATATAAGCAATTCAGGAGGAAGGTCGCAGACAAATTGGGCAAACAAAAGGGTATATTAACGATTAAAATGGATTTTTTGCAAAACTAACAGATTAGAAATTCGGATAAAAAAAATGTATTATAATGGATTAAAATTTATTTCAAAAAGAGAGATGATAATCGATTATGATTTGACTAAAATCAATTTTTTTTCTCATTTTTTGTAAGACTGTTACTAAAATCATTTTATAATTGATTATCAACGCTCGAAACTGGATGCGGGAATAACCGAACTTCGACGGAGGCTGGAGACTTTACAGCCTGTTTGAAAACTGTTTTTTGTACAAATACATCACTGCAAAAAAAATAGAACAGAAACAAAGAAAGATAAAAAAAACTAAGATCAACCAGCCCACAAGGAAATCCATGGAAATAATAGATAATAATTGATTTTATTGATCAGGAATGTTTCCATTATATTCGACTATAATTAAACTTTGGGACCACACAATCGATTATAATCTATTTTTTTTCCCTTATTTTCTAAGAATTTAAATTGATTTTATTCAATATATTCCACTATAATGGATTGTAATTGATTGTAGTCTGTACAAACGACTCTCTAAATTTTTTGCGAAATTTGCTGCCCTTCCGACAAATCTCACAGCTTTTTTGGCTTCTAAACTTATTCATATTTACTTTATTCTAACAAAAATGTATTCAGCGTCCTACGAGTGGAATACCCCCATTTTTATCCTCATCCGTCACAAATATCTCATTTTTGAACACTCCCCCCCCTCCTCCTCCCACGCCCAACCCACCTTCATACACCTAACCAAATTTTCCACGCCTAAGCGTCCCCACACTCACTTCCCAACACCTGCAATTCCCCCACAGCACATTTTCAATTTTTTCAAAAATTTTCTAAGCGTTGAAAAGACCGGCCAAAAAAGCGGGGGGGGGGGGGGTGGGGGATGTATGGAACAATTATAATCATGAAGAGATGAAAAAAAAATTATAAATTTGAATTGATTTGAAAACTGTTAAAGCAATTTTCCCATTTTTCACATAATTCACATAAGCCAAAAGCATAAAATATAAGCAATTCAGGAGGAAGGTCGCAGACAAATTGGGCAAACAAAAGGGCATATTAACGATTAAATTGGATTTTTTGCAAAACTAACAGATTAGAAATTCGGATAAAAATAATCGTTCATAATGTATTATAATGGATTAAAATTTATTTCAAAAAGAGAGATGATAATCGATTATGATTTGATTAAAATCAATTTTTTTCTCATTTTTTGTAAGACTGTTACTAAAATCATTTTATAATTGATTATCAACGCTCGAAACTGGATGCGGGAATAACCGAACTTCAACGGAGGCTGGAGACTTTACAGACTGTTTGAAAACTGTTTTTTGTACAAATACATCACTGCAAAAAAAATAGAACAGAAACAAAGAAAGATAAAAAAAAACTAAGATCAACCAGCCCACAAGGAAATCCATGGAAATAATAGATAATAATTGATTTTATTGATCAGGAATGTTTCCATTATATTCGACTATAATTAAACTTTGGGACCACACAATCGATTATAATCTATTATATTCCCTTATTTTCTAAGAATTTAAATTGATTTTATTCAATATATTCCACTATAATGGATTGTAATTGATTGTAGTCTGTACAAACGACTCTCTAAATTTTTTGCGAAATTTGCTGCCCTTCCGACAATTCTCACAGCTTTTTTGGCTTCTAAGCTTATTCATATTTACTTTATTCTAACAAAAATGTATTCAGCGTCCTACGAGTGGAATACCCCCATTTTTATCCTCATCCGTCACAAATATCTCATTTTTGAACACTCCCCCCCCCTCCTTCTCCCACGCCCAACCCACCTTCATACACCTAACCAAATTTTCCACGCCTAAGCGTCCCCACACTCACTTCCCAACACCTGCAATTCCCCCACAGCACATTTTCAATTTTTTCAAAAATTTTCTAAGCGTTGAAAAGACCGGCCAAAAAAGCGGGGGGGGGGGATGTATGGAAGAAGGGGCAGGGCTGGGGGTAAAAAGAGTAGTCGGCGAAAAGTATGGAGGGGGAGAGGGGGAAGATAGAGGCGTAAACATGTAAAAAGGGGAGTAAAATTTGGGACAGGGATGGCAAATGGAGGAAGTAAGAATGTTAGGCCTAAGTGTGATGTAAGTGGAGGAGGGGAGGAGATATCCCCCCCCCCCCAAAAACTGAAAAAAAATTGTAAACACAATTATACAAAGAACAAAACAACAAACATTAGAAGCCAAACGTAAATCTCATTTTAATGATTGCAAAGTCCAAGTTTTGAAAAGTTATGGAAACTCCAGGTTTTTCCTAAGTTTTATTATAACCAATAAAATCCGTTATAGCCCATTATAATTGATTATATGGGTTTAAATTGATTTTTATCTTGCTTGGTCTATAAAAAAATTTTATTCCATTTTAACCGATCATTTTAAATTTCTATGGAGATAGACTATAACAATCCATTATAATTGATTCTTAAGTTGGAATCTCTCATTTGCGGCACGTTAACTGAAAACATCATATTTTAATTCTGCGTTTGCAGATACATCTGCTTGGATCAAAACCAGAGAAACAGAAGGTTACGGGTTTGAGTTACTTGTTCTTTAACCCGTATCAATTTCAATTTTAACCGCATCGACTCTAATCTTCTCGTTTTTGTCCTGATCACTTCTTTATCTAGAAAAATTTTGACTGGAATATGAGATGAAGGGATTCTTGACTGTAACCTTGGCTACTATTAACCTTCTGATTACCCATTAAATAAGAAACGAAAAAAAGAAACAGAAAGAAACATTTTGTTCCGATCAATGAAACACAGCTGAATCCCGGGTTGATGTAAATCAATTTCGTGTAAGAAATTCTTGCACCAGATTTAAGACTTACAAAACCATTTCTCGAAATCAAATAATCAAAATTCGAAATCTATCAAAAAGCTCACAGAAATGAAAAATTTTAAATCTTCAGAACTGCAGCTCAAATCGAAAAATTTATTTTTCATCTATCTTGTTATTTTTTAACAAATCTCAAACTGCTGTACAGAAAAACTCAATGTCCTGTAAAAACCATGAGAAGTTCTGATGCAAACTTGCATTTTGTTAGCCACGTATTAGTGTTACTGAAGACATGTACCGTGCATTTTGAACAAAAAATTGTAACCTAATGTTCATTGAAAAACATGCGGGCCCACTGCAGTTAAAGCTGCTCCTAAAAATTGACAAGTATCACCTTTTTGGAAAAATGGATGGCTTGTTTGCTAGTTTTACGGATCGCTGGATGGATGTTTGAATGGAAGGCTGGAAGGATGTATGAAAGAATGGCTCGCTGATTGAGAAATTGAAGGAGAACGGATGATTGAAAAGCCGGATATAGTGATGAACGCATAGATGGCTGTCTACATAGATTTTAATATAAAAAGAAGGCCAAGTGAAGGGATATTTAGACGGAAAATGAATGGCTGGATGAAAGGACGCCGGGACGAATGGATATCTAGATAGATGGATGATTCGATAGCTAATAACAAAAATCTAAATGTTTTCAAAATCTGTCAGAGCCAATGCGGTACTTTCAAGACCTGGGACATCGAGCTCGTGCTACAGCTAAAGGCTACTGGTAAAAGACCCGCCAATCTAGAAATAGTTTTGTCCCCATGGCTAGGTCTTTAAAACCCTAAAACACTCGAACGCCGTAAAAAACAAGGTTGCATACTCAAAAAAAACAGCCTTAGTTTTTTTGGACGGTGGACCTTTGATCCAGTTCAGATGGA